AGTTCATACCCTTTTCTTCTCAGTTCAGCCACAAAATTGAAACTTACAATGCCATGCATACTCCAACACTCGCCCACTGAGCCCGTCGTCGTGTTCAGAATTAATCAACCACTGGCGATAACGTATATAGTCTGCCTTGGAGCGGAGCCGGATAGTCTCCCTCCGGACTGCAAACTGGGAGCAGCATCCAACGCCCACAGTCTCCGGGACGCTCTCGCCGGGAAACAGCTCCTCAAAGGCCTGCTTGTATATATGCTTGCATGTAATGCCCTCCCCCGGTAAAACTTGAGTCGCATCGATAAGCGGTCTTATGGCTAAGGGGCAGCCCAGGTACCAGTCGCACCGGAGATTGACGTATCCTTCCTTCTTAAGGTAGCCGAGGCGGAAGCTCTGAAGCAGAGTCAGCGCATCGTAGTCCGGGTTATCGTTATGCCAGAGGATCTGTCTTAAACACTGAGCCTGTCGGCCAATACTTTCGCACAGCCCCATGGCCTAACCATTGTTGGCTTTCCCATCAGCCGGGAGACCGAGGTGGCGACTCAAACAGTGGGCCGTTATCAATTAATATGCACATCAATCGTATCATATAGCTATACCGCTCCGTGCAAAGCGGCAGAGATCCAGCAATAAAAGGCAGATCTTAAATAAATGCCGTCACTCGCCGCTCAGACTTTGGCGGCGAATTTAAGGTCTTTTCTGGGTCCGCGGCATGGCCCGAGCTGGGCGGCTCTCGGTTTGAGCCTGTGCTCCCCGAAAGCTTAGTTGTCCGTCTATATTTAGTTGTCGACATTGCATGCACCGTAAGTACTCCTCATAAGTTGATCGAAAGTCGGCTTACTTTGAATCGATATCCACTCTAGAGATTTCCCTGGCACACCAGGTTCGTTCGGTAGCCGTATTCCGAGTAGTAAGTCCATCGCAAGTTCATCAGTCACCCACTAACACTTAAGCGCCCATTACAACTGGATGTTTGAGCATTCTGCATTTAGTACTCCGTAAATGTTTGTTTTAACCGGGGTTCATGCAATATGTTGTTATTACAATCAGGAACTAATCAATCATCGACGACTAATAGAACTGCCCCCTCAACATGCCTTAATACTGTAGCTGTATGCTGTAGACCTCTGTATATAACAATAGTATGCACATCCTGTATGGAGCTTTCATTTGGATGAATTGCTCGGAGTTAGGAATGATAGCTGCCTCAACTGGCGTTGGAAAGAGGGGTTTTTAGCTAGAGTATGAAGCTTGTTGGTCCAGTAGCTAATACTACTTGTTAAATCGGCCGGCGAGAATGCTGCCATGAGAGACCCTGACTTCACATATTGGTCTGTATTAACCAGTCGTTTGATTGAATCTGCCAGCTGTGTAGTTTCACCGCCATTTGGGATTGTTGTTTCATACATGCATTCCATCGTGGATTGACTTTGATACAGAATTATTTCTGTAGAAAAGTTGTTCTTCCTGTAGCTGGTTAGGTGGTTACGTTTTTGGTTTAAGTCAGGTTGAAATCTGGATTTAAGATTAGTCGAGGCCGTTTGTAGATGTGAGCCGCTAGGAACAGTTAATTTGTAAGGACGTATTTCACCATAGCCAGAGATTTTGTGGTCACTCCTATGATTGCAATGTAATCGTCCGCTTATAGAGTGTGGATTTGGGGGTATTTGATCATTAGATCGGGAAAAAGTAACAGCTATAGGTGCCTGTCGGTGTGTGGCTGCAGAAAAGGCCCTTGAAGGCGGCGGTGTCTGGGGAGTGGGCCGTATTACATACATTCCCTCTTTTCCTCTGGCTGAATTTCCTTCTGCGATCTGCACGGAAGCCTCAATGCTGCGGGGAATATTGGGTGCAGGAACTCGTGGTGGGGTCACCATTCGAGGCGAGCCATTGCTTGTTCGTTGTGGGCTCTGCGTATTGAATAGTGACACCCTACCATTGTCATGCAGACTGAGTGTAGCTTGCCTCATGGAGATTCTGCTATTTTTCACCCTAATGTTTGGACTTCTTGGGGGTATATTATTTCGCGGATCCTGAAATTCGCGCTGCGGAGTTAAAAGCTGAGATTCAGGATCACGTAGTCGCTGAGCAGCAAGAGATAGTGTCCATGGATTAACGGTAGACGTAAGTTTTTCATTAGAGCGGAAACGGCCGCGGTTTTTAGTAGATGCTGGGCTACTAATGTCGATGGTTAACTGGTTACTAAGATAACTCTGTTGGGTATCAGGAGTGGGTATAATGGTAGAAGTTTCTAGATTATAGATATCCATGAAAACGCCCTCGATTATCTGGAGGACCGCCTGATGATCTTCGAACAAGATGTCATCCTTAGAGGGTTCGATGTTCGCATCATATATGCCGGGAGGACAATCCAAGGATAAAAACATGAAGGGATCTTCAAGTATATTGCTATTCACGGCCTTTTTGTAATAAGATTTGAAGAGTTTAAACACTTCCTTACCAAAGCCCATGCAGGTCAGAAGCGGGCGGGCATCAACAATGACAAATTGCCCTTTGTGGTTAATTCTGGCCATACATTCTATAGTTATCAGCTTAGCTACTCTCCTGTGCAGGGATTACACTTACCTGCTTCAGGGTTAGGTACAATGATAGACATGTGGATAGTGGGGGTATCGTAGTTTTCCACCATGGAGTCTGGACTGTCTTTTTCTCCCGGAATTGGATAGGAAGCGTTCGAGGAAATACAGCTTGAAATCACCGTAGAGCCAATAACTTGGAGGATTGCATCAGGTACGGAGGGTTTTTGGCTGGGCGCATAAACCCAGTCCTTCTCTTTGGATTTCAATACTCTCATCGACAAACGTGTTTTTGGCCTTGCTATAGCATATCCCCGAAGGAGCTTCTTTATAGCGAGAATGGATTTTGTCGATTTTTTCTCTGCTTCTTGTCTCCTCACAGGTAACGATTTTAGAAAATCGCAGACACGAACGGTTGTTCCAATCGGGTGGGAGGCGGGCGTGTCACTGATAAAATGGGTGTAAGTATAGAGCATATAGCATCAAATTGCTTGTCGAACCGCCCGCTGGTGAAGAGCGAAAGGGACTCGTGGTAAGAAGACTTGCGTGTAGTACGAGAAACAGAAACATGCTCCGGAAATGAAAGTCAAGTGAGAAAGCCCTCTCACTAATAGGTTTTCTAACTAAAGAATAAGAGTAGAACCAAACGCATGCGCCTACCTTATGGGCTCTCCATCACGGCCAAATTTAACTGTCCTTGCAACTTGCTCCTCCGGAACGCGAGTCGTGATATACATGGCATCGCTCATTTCAGCAATGCTGGCTAGAGCTTGACCACGAAATCCTAGAGATCTGCCGCCGACGTTCTTGAGATCTTCCGTTGTTTGAATTTTGCTGGTATAGTTCTGCTTGCACGCAAGTGAACGATCACTGGGCAGTATTCCAGACCCATTGTCCTTCACTTGGATAATGTCAAGAGTATTAAGGGAGATTTCAATGAAGATAGATGTAGCTCCGGCGTCCAGAGCGTTATCAAGAAGCTCTTTGACCACAGAAGAAGAGTCAGGGAGAGCAGAAGTTGAGCCGATAGCCCTGACAGCAGGGTCTTCTAACGCAACAATGGACATGTTTCCTTTGAACTGGATATCATAGTCAATCGAGAAAGGCGACAGATTCAACTGCGATCGGAGCGAGATCAAGATGTCATCGCATGAAGGAGATATGGATGAAGTTGAAGAGTTGAGGTCCGGAGTTGCCATATTGGGACCAGTTAGCGGGCCAGGTCATTGCTCTGGTAACTAACTACCTAGTTAGGTAGTTAACGTAGTTGCCCCGCCGATGAGTAGGGTTGCGGTATAACTAATGGATATATATTATTAACAAAGTATATGCGTGCTATAGGCAGGATACCGCAAGCGGTGTTAGAAGAGCTTCAAGAGCCAGTTGATTAGTGGACGCAAATTTTACCCAGTGGAGATCCTAAGTAAGTAGTTATGTGACAACCCACTTAACTAACTTAATTTGATTAACTAACTGGTTAATTTAGTTAGATCTGTCTGGCGCCGAAGAACTCTGCCGCGGTAAGAATGTTCTTTAGTATACCGTTTCTGTACAATTAACTAATTTAGTGGGCCTTCAAGTATCATATCAAATATCACTACTGCCTGTTCTCCCTCCGCTTGACCTTGCTACTATTAGCTGCCTGGGTCATCAACTGCCTCTCCCTTTCACTCAGTTTCGGTAGAGCATCGGATACGCGTTCCTTTAGTTTCTGCTTTACGGCCTCAACCTGTTCATCAGAGGTGGGCATGAGGGATGGAGACAGAGCTATGGGTATGGAGCCGGACTCGGACGACTCCGTAACCCATGACGGAATACGCTCTAGTGATTCGCGATTGTGAAGATAGTAACTGAGTATCGATGAAAAGCTTTCGCGAGCCTTCTCTTCCGAGGACTTGTTGTCGCTCATACTGTTTGTGTTTGCTGGTTTCCCGCATTAGTTACTTTCGTTGCTAGTTCCGCGGGTGTCCAAGCTTAGTTACCTATCATAAACCAAGGTCACTGCCTCGTATCTCAACGTTGTGGAAGTATAAGTCGTGGAAAATGGTGAGGAGCAGTCAACTCAGGCCTGGGGATGGAATGACTATATACCTGACTCACTACTTATAGGCATGAGCAAGCACTTCGGAACAAAGCGGATAATGCCCATGGCGGGGAGCGTGCTTATTTCCGGCCTGTCCGTCATTGGTTCCCAGCCTGTTGCTATTAATAAATACCTAGCTGTTTAGTTGGACCAATTAACAATTATTGAAAAAATAGTAATGGAAAGACTGTAGCAAATCCGGGGCAACTGGTGTTGCTTGCACATAGTTATTAGAGCGGGCATTGATGCAGTCCAGCGAAAGGCTGTTCCTTATTTTCAGGTTATTGTTTAAAGGAAGTGTGGACAAATGAGGAGCCTGTAAGAAAGCTCATCATAAGAAACCATTAGATCAACCTAAACTATCAAAGAGAGAAAACTAGCCGCTATAGCTCCATAGTATCATCAAGGGAGTAATGGGGGTCAATCTCGCCATCCTCAGCCTGTTTGACTTTCACGTGGTATATTGCGTCTAGCTTGGTGTGCTCTTCCTGGCTTAAATGTTGCAGTCTATCTTCTAGAGAGGTGAATTTCCCGTAGTAAGCTTCATCAATGAAGGTCCAGTATATCTCATCAAACATAGAGCTATACCGTGCTGCTAGACACACCCAGAACAACTTATTATCCAAAGACTTCTCCATATGCGGCGATAGCCTTTGAGATTCTTGCAGGCTATTATTGGATATCATGTCACACTCGGCTGCTCGTAGGGCATCCAAGAAAAGATGAAAGCGAGGCGTATAGCGAGTCAAGAACTCAGTGAGATCTGATTCCCAGTCTTCAGGAGACTGTAGAAGGAGCCACCACGGAGCTACGTAGCTAAACTCGGCGGGTGCAACATATGTAAACTCCCAGTCTATTGCTGCTGCAATTCGGATATTTTCAATATCCACAAGTACATTTGAGGGCCGGAAATCATCGCAATAGAGCCTGAAAGGGCCTTCATGAAACTGGATGGCTTCAACAACTTTGCTAAAGAGACAACGAGCAACGAATTTTTTGCGACAGTCAGCTTCGTTAGTAATCGCGTCGTTTCGCTGGGTAAGGAAGTGCAACATATGCTGTGTAGCTAGGGACTTGAAATAATCAGCCGCTGAGTCAAATACGGCATTCGGGCCTGGCAATACGTAAGGCGGAGCGTTTGCAGAAGTTGAGAGCTCGTTCATATTAAATGTAAATGGTCTCCTGGATACCGTAAATTCGCCGTCCGACCTTTCTACCAAGGCACCTATCCTGGCGAACTCAGGCTTAGATAGTTCGAGGAGAAGCTGGGCCATCTCCTGGTAAGCCCTCCGTAAACCACGCTGACTGATATTTGAGTTCAAGATAGGCCGTCCTTCAGCCTTGGGATCCTTGAGAATGCTGGCGAGAGGGGTACCATGGACATAAGTTAAAACGATATACGGTCCTGTCCAGGTCTTCCCAGACCCATATACTTCGGGGACAGGTATTGAGGTGTGTTTTCGGAGATACCGTAGGACAGCAACTTCGTTGGCAACCTTTTCTGCACGGAAAATTGACCGTCCAAGGGAGCTAAACCGAACAATAACTTCAGGCGTGTCATCATGAAACTGGACGCGATAGCACACGTTAAAAGCGCCAGTCTTCCATTGGCACGCTTGCTTGGCCCTACGGCCAAGATGTGATGCGGCTAGCTTCATAGCAAGATGTTCGGGGGATTTCGACAGTAGCTGCTTCACCCATTGTGCAAAGACAATGTCCAGCCGGTCCTCCGCGACATGGTCAAACTGCATGGTGATAGGGTCACGAGACAAGCCGGTGAGCTGGTAAAATATTTCACCACAGGTCAGAACGTAAAGGAAGAGTATAAGCTCACAGAGAAAAACTCAATGGATCCGAGATTCGAGAATGAAGAGTACGATAATAGTGAACAGTGAGGTTGAATTCTGATAAAAGGGGATGAGGCTTAAGTTGATAGCGCAGACGCCAAGTTGATTAATAATCCATTATATAAGCAAGCTATACCAAATTAGTAATAATCTAACTTACGTAATTCGGAACGCTGTGATGACTGCGCCGGGATTCGGCTTCTCTAGCCACATGATTCAACCGGCACATAATATCAAGGATGCATGGCCAATAAGTGGGAATCCTAGGATTATGGGTTTAGTGACCCGTCTTGAGTGACAATGATGCACCCTAAACTCATTCAAGATTCCTTGTGCGAGATCAGAATCAATCCATCACGAAATATGGAGTATTCCACTTTCTATGAATATATATCTCTTAGAACAGATATATATCGAGAGGCTGTTAGCAGAGGGGAGATGTTGATTCTGATAAAAGAAATCGTCATTGAACTATCAAGCTGAAACCACCATCTAACAATCCCGGTACCAGTGCAGATAACGACACCCCTCACCCCCGGATCTGCGATTTAAGCCGATCATGAGTCCAGTTGGGCATTCTCCACCCACAATGATACGAAGAGCTGCTTTACTTAAATTATCATATATTGACATACACTACAAGCTCTATCACAATGCTCCAGGTGTTTCTTCTCAGGCGAAGAAATATTGAAGTCCCTGTTAATTTCATGAAATGGCCATCTTGCCCATTCAAACCAAGGTCGACCTTTGTGTGCTGCCACTTTTGATTCTATCACTGCTACTTGCGGGTTTAGACAAGGTTTGATTTCCTCGAGAGTTGTTGACGTGCGAAGCATTGCTAAGCAGGCACAGAATGCGCTCGCGTTTGCTGCCGTTCTGGGAATGAACAAAGACCTAGGTCTTCATGGTCAACAGTATTCATGGCTCGGTTCTATCTTCAATATTGCATACCTTTTTGCCGAATTTCCGACATCATGGCTTCTTACTCGACTGCCTATTGGCAAGTATGTAGGCACCTCATTGATTTTATGGGGGGCTTCTGGGTGTGCAATGGCAGCGTGTACCAATTTTGCAAGCGCTGCTGCTGTCAGATTTCTCCTCGGAGCTCTGGAATCAGCTATACTACCGTCGGTTATTGTCATTATGTCCACTTGGTATCGGCGTGAGGAGCAACCCCTGCGGGCTGCTCTATGTTTTGGCCCTTTCTCCGGGGTATGTATTTGGGGCCTTTATCTAATGGTTTCGTAACTACGATGGCTCCCAAAAGCTGATGCAATCCAGATTTTTGGTGGTATTCTTGCATATGCCATTGGTACTCTTCGAGCACCAATACCTACATGGAAGGTATATTCAACATGATACATCCTTATTTTGGGCGGTATAGCTGTTTTAATACAGGTTGTTGACAGTTAATATTCTTGATATACGGTGGAATAACCATCGCCGTCGGCTTTATCTGCCTTGTGGTACTCCCAGACAACCATGATAAGGCCATATTCCTTTCCAAGGGTGAACGTGACGAGGCAAAGCTCAGGGTTGCGGACAATAAAACCGGCAGAGACACACGCAAGGTCAGTTTTGCGCCGTGATTTAACTTCAGTTTGAGGCTGATACTACCTAAATGTGGTAGAAATGGAAGTTCTCTCAGGTCCTTGAGGCCCTCAAAGATGGAAAGTACTGGTGCGTCGTGGCTTTTGTCTTGTTCCAATCCATCACGAATGCCGGAGTTACGAATGTGAGTCAACCCTCATAATTGATGCTGTCCTTTTACAATAGATACCAGAATTACTTACTAGCTTCTTCAGTTCAATCCTTTAATTATAGCGGGATTTGGGTACTCGAAGCAGATAACCGTACTATTAGCAGCTCCACAGGGAGCCGTTGCTCTTACAGCTCAAGTCATTGCCGCGCTATTGGCGCTTTATATTCCTAACCTTCGCTGTTTGCTATGGGTACTCTCTTGCATCCCTTCATTGGCAGGAACATTGGTAGTAAGATGTATGTTCCATATACCCCTTATTACCTTAGTCTTGGTGCAGCTAACATATTGGTAAAGATGTTTCGGTATCTGAGAATCGTATTGCCGCCCTCATGGGGGTATATCTTACTGGGTTCTACAATATTGCTTGGTCCATGACCCTCAGTCTTGTGGCTTCCAACACTGCTGGAGCAACGAAGAAAAGCTTTGTCTCGGCCTCTATTGCCATTGCTCATGGTAATATTTTCTTCAATTTTCACCTCAGACCATATTGGATACCTATTTATATATATCTAACCTCCGTGAAATAGGCGTTGGTGGATTAGTCGGCCCTCAATTTTTCCTTGAGAGCCAGAAACCCCATTACCAGCTGGGACTGGGTGCTATGATTGTTTCTTTGATAATGATGGCAGTTTGCGGCGCAATATACGGGTTAGTGCCTTTCTCCTGCTTCTCCTTAGCTTTCGAGCTTCACCATCCTTACTATTCATTCTATTATAGAACGCTCTGCATTTATCAGAACAAAGCTCGAGATAATCTTGGCGAAACTGTCAGCCCCTTGCCTGCCGAGTGTTATTCCACAGAAGAAAACGCCGACAGGGAGTCAGATGATAAGACCGATTATGAGATGCACACCTTTCGCTACACATATTAAAGGTATATCTGATTATAGGGCATATCTTCGTCTATATAATGCATGCATATCAAAGCATACCTGGAATTACATTCATGATTGTATGATGCTCATAGATTTCAATGCCTACGTTTTATTCGGTTGATTTGTGGGATCCAGACGTAGACAAAGATACGGGTGCAGCCGTAATTAATTAATCGACTTAAATAAATACACTATTCAAGATTGGAAGAGAAGACGACTGCAAAACACATCGAGTCCGTATCCCGGCCGGAATTGCCAAAAATATGGCTTCAATCTGTGGGCCACTTGTATTAGCTCCCTATTTTCGCCCAGCAATTTTGATAAAAAGGAGGCTAAAGAAGGATAAAGAGAGTAAAGGCGAAAAGGCATATAATTAGGGAGCTTATGAGCTAGACTGACCATTTTATTACTCCTGGTGTAGTTAGTGGTTTCCCCGTAATCTAGTTAGTGTTTAAAAGCTCCTCTATAGTATTTAATTGGAATAAATCAGAGTACTCCAATGAATCCAAATTAAACCCCAGCCTCTCATTGTTATCATCATCAAAAGTGTTTGACTCGTTACTCTGTGCCGTGCCAGTATTTCCCAAGAAATTTGTTGTTATTTGTATAATCTTTTGCTTGATATCCAGCACAATATCTGGAGTTATTAGTATCTTACCCTTTTCTCGAGCACTATTCTCGCATGCCTCCCAGGCTTGAAGAACTATCCTAGAAAAAACAAGAAAAAAGTCCCTGTGTTTTTCTTGGTTTGAACCCGCTATGCGTAACATATAGTTATGGGTCATGGCCTTCCAGGCCGTATCGTGGTTTTCGACAGGCCGTCTTTTCAAATCTTGAAGGAGGTGAATATAAGCAAGGAGAGGGAAGTGAAAGTGAACAAGCCAGAGGTAACCTTTAATATGTGGCGAGGCCATAAGATTTGTATCACACTCTAGCATACGTAGAGCATAGGAGACACCAATGGTATGCTGAGGGTCTGGTTGCTTCTCGGTGTTCAGGGTATAGTGTTGCAGGAGACGATACTTCGCGAAGTAGCCACGTATTGTCCAGATTGTCATATAGTGAAAGGGGTTCTCTGAATTGCAGGATGCGAGATATTTCTCTTCTATCAGCCTTTCTAGGTCTGCTAATTTTCGTGCCTCCTCTACATGGCTAGACCTAGCTGTCATTATTTTGTTGAAGCACGGATTAGTGAAGTCGATATGGAAGGCACTATAGCGGATGAAGTTAGCCAGCCGGCAGCGTAGAACTACAAAAATCATCTCTGATGGGTTGTAGTCTGCTATTGCCGGTGAGGCCTTCATCTCTGGCTGAAGCTCTGAATCATTCACATTGAGAGGAATTCTGCAGTCCCATGAAGGATTTAAAGAAGTGGTTCCGTAATCAGACATTTCGCATATGCGATTATCGAAGATCACAAGTGACCACCATAGTCTTCGGCGTCTCTCAGCTTCTAAAGGGGGCCATTTGCTATACATAGATTCACTATGAATACCTATCCGTTGCGCGATACGTATAGCAACGCTAAGTAGCGAGGAAAGAGACGCAGGGTTTGTCGTAGGCCTAATAGAGACCTAAAAAGTTTAGAAGTTAGGATATATTTATGAGTAGAGTTATCAAGCACCTTACTAGATAGAGGTATAATGCCGTCAAGCATTCATAGTCACAGGTTTGTAATACATCGCAGTTCCCCAGCGCTTGTTGGCATGATATTTGATAACCTGTTAGAATACCCTTCTTTGGGGACCCGAAGAAGCCACTGCATTGATCTTCAGTAAGACTGTGAATGGAGATAGAGTAGATACTAAACATCAGTGCTTCCAACGTGGGCTTGATGTTAGTTAAATCGCTAGCAGCATCGATAATACGAGCTTGCAAGGTCGGTGTATGTGTGACTTTGAGAAGGGGGTTGACATTTGTCCAGATAAACTTGCCAGAGCTTAAAAATTTGCATCTGACTTGGGTGCGAGGGAGAGAGGTCGACAATCCCTCCAGAAGAACCAAATAAGAGAAGATGCTCACTGCTCCCGCCCTGAAAGGTATGGTGCCACGCCTTCTTGATAACTGCGTGTCGCACGTCGTCATTCTCATGCAGGAAACCAGTGATATTTCCTTCATCTCCGCCTTCATCATAACTGTCCTCATCATCTATTGAATCTGTAGACTGTTTCGGTTGTTAATGAAGCTCTAACCGGTTAACGTAAAGAGGCAGGACTGGCTAGCCGTACCCTTTGACCTATGGCACGCCAAAGATTCCTAAGTTACAATTAGCCATATATACAGTTGCAAATGACCGAGAAAAGGGCTCAATCCCATACACTGGTTTAGGTCTTTCAGCTCGCCCGGCTATTTTATCCGATTTATCTACTTCTGGCTCAACTCGACTGTCTTCACTTGTGGTCCGGTCGTCTGTATCTAACGGATGGAGAGGATCAAACTCGATTTTGTGCTGCCGAAGAAGTGTCTCGTAGTGTCTTAGGCGCGCCAACAGCTCCCTCTCGGGAAACCTGCGGCGTCGCTGGCGGGTTGCTTGCTCGCAGGGGACGCTGGCGCGTACACAGTTGGCGCATGGAAAGGAGCGCTGGCATTTGACCTTGCGCTGCTGACACTGCACACAAGCCAGTACCCGTTGGTGTCTAACGGCAGTAGGCGCCATGATTGCACTTTAGAGGCGTCGATAGTTCATCCTGTCGCCTGAAGTTCGCGTGGAGAAGAAGACACAGAGAGAAGATGAAAAAGGAGTAGAAGTGAAGTCCTCACTAGTTAGCATGCTCGGGATTTAGTCAAAGTTCCGGCCCGCACTTTCTAACTCCCGCGGGCTAGACAGAAACATCCAAAACACCACCACCAACTGCAGTTACAATATGCGAATCTCCGGCTGGATTTGTTACTGCGTATACCCTATAAATATAAGACCTTGGGGCTTTTTCTGCCTTGTCTTCTGTCTCACGATGTTTGTCCATCAACCCTCAATCGCACCCCTCGCAGAAGCATCAAGACAATGGCTTCCTCTCGCGCTTTCTCCCCCGATAGCACCGAATCCCCAGTGGCTGATGTACCAAAGGTGGCCAACCAGCACTGTGACTTGACCCCAGATGCCACAGCTAAAAGCGAGGACTCCGAGAAACAGCCTATTATCCAGGTTGTCTGTCTCATCGTTTCGGCCTTTGTCGCCATGTTCATGGTTGCGCTGGATAGAACAATCATCTCAACAGTGAGAACATTTCACTTACACGGAAATGGAATCAATTAGTCAAGTCGCTGACCGTCATAAAATATATAGGCGATACCTAGAATCACTGATGAATTCCAGTCCTTGCAGGATGTTGGCTGGTATGGCAGCGCCTACTTGCTGACATGCTGCGCGTTCCAGCTTCTGTTTGGGAAGCTATACAAGCTCTTCTCTGTCAGGACCATCTTCCTTTGGAGTATTGGACTATTTGAGGCTGCCTCTGCAATCTGTGGAGCGGCTCCCAACTCGTTATCATTCATTGTTGGAAGGGCAATCTGTGGTATTGGAGCGGCCAGTATTCTTGCTGGAACTGTAAGCATAATATCCTTGTAACAATCGCTGTTGATTAACCTTATTCCTAGATAATGTGTATCGTTCATTCTGTGCCTCTCAAGAAGCGTCCACAAATCCAGGGGTTGTTTGGTGCCCTTTTTGGCATTGCCTCTGTGGCAGGGCCATTGATTGGCGGCGCATTTACTTCGAATGTCTCATGGAGGTGGTGCTTCTACATCAACCTTCCCATTGGTGGCGTCGCAATATTTTTCATTGCCTTCTGCCTCAAACTTCCCAAGCGAGATACAACAAGGTTACCCTTAGTTGAGAAGCTGGTACAGCTTGATTCCCTGGGAACTACTCTGTTAGTGCTTGGAGTGGTCTCCCTTGTGCTGACACTTCAGTGGGGGGGCCAAGCATACCCCGTACGTTATTTGACAGTGCTGTTGCCTATCATTTTCTGTCTTCAACTAACAGCTAGTTAATAGTGGAGCAGCGGCCGGGTCGTGGCTTGTCTCGCTCTCATGGCAGTTTTGATTCCTGCGTTCGTTGCTGTTCAGGTGCTTCTCCCCAAGACAGCTACGCTTCCAGCACGTATATTCACGCAGCGAAGTGTTCTTTCGGCCTTCTGGCAAACTCTCTGCATCGGCTCCGAAAATTATATATTTGGTAGGAATGGAATATCATCCATAGCTATCAGTTCTGTGGGTAGTACTGCAAGCAGCTAACAGTTCATTAATATAGTATACTTCCTGCCAGTTTGGTTTCAGTCTATCCAAGGTATCTCTGCTGTGAATTCTGGCATTCGCTTGCTACCAATGATGCTCTCAATGGTCGTTGGATCAGTGGGTGGCGGAACTATAAACTCCAGGATCGGATACTATACCCCATTGGCAATTATTGGTTCCTGTATAATGTCGGTCGGCGCTGGCCTTCTCACCACTCTGAAGGTAGCCAGCGGCAAAGAAGAATGGATTAGCTATCAAGTAATCTATGGACTCGGGTTAGGCCTATGTTTCCAGGTTCCCAACCTTGCTGCACAAACTGTTCTATCAAAACCTGACGTACCGCTTGGTTTGGCGTTGATGTTATTTGGACAGCTTATTGGAGCAGCGGTCTTTGTATCTGTTGGTGAAAACGTCCTAGCGAATCAGCTGGTGAAGAGACTTTCCGCTCTTCCAGGGTTTACTCCCGGTCTCGTTACTTCGGGTGGTATCACAGGACTATTCAATACAATACCCACGGATCAACATGATATACTCCGCTTCTCTTACAATGAAGCACTGCGAAGCGTATTCCAGGATGGCCTTATTGTTTCATGCGTGTCCCTGCTTGGTGCCGCCACTCTAGAGTGGAAGAGCATCAACAGAGTGCAGAGCAAGCTTGATACTGAAAACAAAACAGCTGGACAGGAAACCGAAATTAACTAGAAACGAGTAACTATAAATATTGCTTTAAAATTATATAATAAGTTGACAAATAGTTCTAAAATTAAAAAGTAATATTCACTGTGTTTAATTTATACAAAGCAAAGAGTCATTTAGCTAGGTGGTTAGCCAGCTGCTTAAGCTAGATATAATTAAGGGGTAACTTGTACCTTTACGACAACGGCGTTTATCCGATAACAAACTCGCTGGTAAACGCGCTTAGTAATCTGAGGCTAACTGGCTAAGTTTTGCTAATTAGCCAATGATTTGACAGCATGATGCGAGTCACGTGCTAGAATAAGATTAGTCACCCATTTGTCTTGGCGGCTCCCGCCCGTTAAAACAACACCGCCTCTAGTAGCATTTCGGTTCTAGCATTTCCGTTTCACATCCTCCTTGATGGATCTCTAGAGGAGGTCATGGCGGAATTTCAGATATACCAACTTGCAGTACCATTTGTTGTACTGCTGATAGCGTTTCTCTCATATAGTTCGCAATATTTGTTCCTCTTCCTTGAACCTGCACCGCTGAGTACACCCGAACTCGTCAAATTTAATATCCTGGTGGCTTGCATATGGATATGCTATGCCCGAGTCTGTCTAACGGATCCAGGGAGAATTCCAAAAGACTGGAAGCCACCCACTACCGCAGATGCATTGTTAGAGAAGCATCTTGGTCTCGAAGAGGGCAGCGATCCTTCTTATCGTCAACGATGGTGTCGAAGATGCGAGGCGTTTAAACCTCCCAGATCTCACCATTGTAAAACTTGCAAACGGTGAGCGCAGCCAGCTCAGGAAATGCACACTTTTATGTGTTTATAACTCATGTACTGATGTACCGTGGAGATGTATCCCTAAGATGGACCACCATTGCCCATGGACATATAACTGCGTCTCGCATTTCACATTCCCGCATTTTATTCGTTTTCTATTTTATGCAGTAGTTTCCATGATATATCTTGAACGCTTTCTTTATATCCGCATAGCGGTGGTATGGAGTAACCGAAGCCTACCAAGTGTATGTTCTACCTTTGTGGCCATGGCTAAACGTTTTATCACACTCCACTAACACTGGAACCACAGTATTACGGTCCCTCTTTAGCTCAGTTAGGGCATCTCTTTGTGCTTACTATTACTAATACTGTAGTTCTTCTTGCCCTGTCGATTCTGCTACTTCGAAATCTATGGATGTTGGGTGCAAACGAGACTACTATCGAGGGATGGGAAATTGAAAGGCACAGGACGTTGTGTCGACGAGCACGAGCCCTGGGTGGCTACCTCGAAGGTCCAGATGGTGTCAAAGTCTGGATTAAAAGACAAGAATTTCCATACGATATTGGTGTTTGGAACAACATTAGAGATGGCATGGGTGGTAGTAATAATGTGTGTTGCCAATTCTATATTCAACACTCCTTAAACAAAGTTATATTCTAACAAAGGCAACTTTCTAGATACTTGGCTGGTTTTGGCCCTTTTCACGAACACCGGATCGGCGCACTGGGTTAGAGTTTGAAGTTAATGGCTTTGAAGGTATGTGTTACTTCTGGCTGTCACCTTAGAGCACAAAATTGATGTCTGAAGATGAATCTCTCACTTGGCCTCCACCGGATCCTGACAGGATGTCCCGAAACACGCCACAAAGGCAGGATAGAACTACACTTCTTGGAGATGGTCGAAATTTTGACTATGACGAGGTTGAGGCCTTTCATAAGCGCCAGGAGGCAGACTATCTACGCCAGCGAGCTGTCTCCGAAGTCCGCCGTCGAAAACCGTTTCATAAACGGTATATAAAAAAGGGGGATGATGGCCATCTATCCAATATCTCCGACTCTGAAGACGAGGAATTGTCCAACAGTGGAGAAGAAGGCTGGAGAAACTCGGAAGGTGAAAGGTTGAAAGATTTCGGAGTTGATGAAGAGGTTGAATTCTACGATGAGGATGATATACCACTTGCCGAATTAATACGGCGAAAAAAACTTCGGTCATGATGAAAAGGCATCTGTCCTCCCAAAACCCAGATTAATAGAGCCTCGCAAAGGATACATTTACATAAATACTAGGATCTATAGTTACCCTAGGGGTGAAGAGGCAATTATAGTGCTAGCCGTAACCAAAATAGGATATTATTGAATCAAGGCAGCTGTTTCAACGGAAGATCCAAGTCTATAACTATATACGTACATAGTTTGGAAGATTTCAAAAAGGACTGCGCTTCTTCGTGACATATGCTTGCATCCTTTTTAAGAATACGCCCCACCAGGTCCTTGTAACTAAAACATTCGTATAATTTGAGTCATAGCCTACTATATGAAGGCGACTGATATATCTTTAATCATTTATAAAGGCATTCACAAAAGTATTCAGCCTCATCAGTCGGTCAAATTATTAACTTCCCACTTCATGTTCCATATCTTCTGATACAGATAACTATATAGGTTCCATTTGAAAACAGTCTACAGTATGGAGGAAACAACATCCGGTTTCAAACTGACCCCGAGAATTCACCTTCGTCGCTACAAACCGAGCGACATTGACCTGATCTGCACGCTTAATGAAGATGAAGACGTAATGAAATACATCGACAGCGAGCCGCCATCTCGGGAAGAAGTCGAAGAAGAGGTCCAACAGATCATTCAAGCATACAATATCAACCCTCGAACTGGAAAATGGATAGCCGAAACACCCACAGCTGAAGGCATGGAGTTTATTGGCTGGCTTCGGCTGGGTGATCTAGATCAATTCTCACGAGAGTGCTTTAGCAACGCCAATACTGAAAGCAACGAAAAAGATCTGCGGCTGGAACTTGGATATCGGATTCGCCGTCGGTTCTGGGGTCAGGGGCTAGCAACTGAAGGAGGTCGAGCTCTTGTTCGATACGCCTTTTGTTCCCTAAATGCCACCCAGGTAGTGGCCGGGACGATGTTTGTCAACTCGGGATCCCGCCGTGTCATGGAGAAATGCGGTTTGAAGCATGTAAAGACACTCTACCTGGAGTTTCGTGATCCGCTCCCGGGGACAGAGCTGGGTGAAGTGTTCTATGCTATCACTAGAGAAGAGTGGGTGGATTCTGTAGGTAACTGCGAAGAAGCTATATCTAATGGGCTTGAATAAGGGGCCAGATGGCCGAAGGGGTATGTATTGTGGGTTGAGATATTATTAAAAGCGTCTAGGTACTATGCTCGATAAGTAGATAAAACGCTAAAATAAAGGGAATAGAAGACAAAGAAGAGTAAATTCACATGCTAAGGGTATTCTCGCTCCAGAAAGACCAAAACAGTGACAGGCGAAGGTCGTAAATTCGTTAGATGAAGCAGATGTGGGCAGGAAAACAGTAATCAAACAAGCATTATCGGTTACCAGTCAAAGGTATTAGGGAGAAAGAGCTCGAACGTGGTATAGCAAGGCTGCGCATCAGACCAACTTCTGTAGCTGGTCTCCAAGCTGAGGATTTCCTTCCATGCCGGCACACTCAACTTCTCCTGCTGCATTTGTTTGGAGTTTGACTGACATGTAATCGCCATCTCCTCCTTGTGCTCCGACCGAAACCCAGACAAACTTGCTTCCAGAAGCGCTCGCCCAAGATCGTTCTTGAGCTCCATCCCAGAAAAGGTCCGCAGAGGTACATTTTATGGCACCATTGACTTTGGAGACAGATGAGAGAGAGACCCTTCCTCCAAGTCTCTTGTTAGTAGCCCAGCAATCAATAACAGTTGTGATAAATTCAAGTTTCTTGGGGAAAGAGTTTGCTTCGAGGATGTCCCTGAACCGTTCAGTAGTGACACCAGGAATCTTGGTAGAGATACCAGAGATGGACGATAGATATGCAGAGGCCGGCTCTGATATGACCGTTCTGGTATCAAAACCGCTGGGGTGCATTTTTCCTTTTGCAGCGAGGTATCTAGCTGCTGACGGTGAAAGATGATAGAAGTCAATTCTACAGGAGCTGGCCAGCTCTGATGGATCAGCTGGTCGCTGCTCGGGTAGATATAGTACAAGCTTAGTATGATCAGGGAAGTTAAACTAAAAATACGGGGGTTAGATACTGAGCGGTTACTGTTTTGGTAAAAAGAAGGAGGATCTTACCTGGAATGCACCGTCTCCAAAGCCCCAGACTCCAACATTTCCGAGCCTCTGGTAGAATTTGATGTATTGGCCGCTGCTTTTTGATTTCGATGGTTCAATAGCGCCTCTCCCTAGAGACCCTACCATATATTTTCCGAACTGATCTACCAGTCTGACACGATTTGCCTTCTCAGCGCTTCGAACTGTGCAGAGAACATTTGCTGGCTTGTCTGGGCTTGACCGTCTTGTCTCGAACGTTCGTGCAGGGAGAAGAGCTCTCCTGACAGTTCCATCAGAATAGCCGTCTGGATTAATTTCTACATTTTCATAGAATTCAATGGGCTTGCCATTTCGTGGAACAAGCTGATCGACTTCTGAGTAGGAGTTGGCATTTTCGGGTTCTCCTTTCGCGCGCGCCTTTAGCCGAAGGTGGCTTTCACCATCCCTGACTACTACCCCTGTTGCCGGGTAGCCATTCTCGCCCCTGAAAACGCAGCCAACGCTTCCTTCATCCAATACGTAGGCAATCCCATATCGGTTAGTGTAGTCAACCCACTTCACAACATATGGATGGGCTCCGGACTTGGCAGTTGATTGGGGTTGAGCAGGTTTGCTCTCAGAGTTTCTAAACGAGCTTTGAGAAGGTTTTTCACGAAGGATGGACTGGTATATCTGGAGATCAGCTACAACCTCCTGCACGCTTGATCCTGGTAGTATTTCTGACTGATCCTCTGGCAAAAGGAGTGGACCGGATCCCAGCGCCGACCTTGATTTACTGCCGCTGCTGGATGCGGCTGACGAGGTGGTTGCTGATCTGGTCAGGCCTTGTGTCTTATTTGAACGAGATGCAACATCCCTGCCCGTAACTGATGATTGACTCTGATGCCGGCGTAAGGTAGAAGTTGAATCTGACCGAATAGGTATCGTTCGTCCGGAACCCACGTTTGATCTAGGCTGACGCGCCGCTGGTTTGATAGGTTCTTCACCCACGTTCTCCTGTTCGGTATTTTGGGGACCAGCCACAGGGGCAGACCCCAAGTTGGGGGGTTTGTTACTGGAGGCAGTGCCAAGTGCCGCTGGGGTTGAGGTTGATTTGGACATAGATGTAGTGAGTGCCCGATTCTTTTCCCGCATGGACTCATGGTAGGCTTGTGCAGTCTGTGATCGTGTGCGTATAGGGCGTTGGCTAAGTAGATTCCGAGTACTCCTGATGGCTGGATTCTTCTCCGGCACAGTATCAGAGGATGCCACTGTAGCTTGAGTGGCAGTTGAAGAAGTGTCCTTCGCTGCTGGACGAGGTGCAATTGCCTGTTGACGAAGCATGGCGGCATGATTCTTGGGAGCAGATTCTCGGCGATTGAGCTGGGCAGCCAGAGCGATCTCGGTTCTCGCTATCATGGCGGCCTTTGATTTAGTCAAAGTACTCCGGCCATCAATAGCTCCATTGCTACTTTCTTGGTCCTCTGGAAGATCATTTTCCGCCTCCGCTTCGTCAAGACTCCAATCCTTGCCATTATCAATGTAGTAGCTGTAGACTCTGTCGGATGGCAGAGGCATAACAGGCTGGAGTCCCCTCTCTTCCTCGGTAAGACATTCAGCGAAAGCAGATTTTCCACATCTTTTCCCCACCGATTTTCGTATTTCCCCTGAACTCCGTCTTCCAACGCCACACTCAGCGTAAAAGATGTTCTTACATATGATGTATCTCTGGGTAGGATTCGTAACGTGGGATATAAGTTTCCTATATGTATGGTCATACTCCAAACTGTATCCGGGAGCCGGGTTGTCGCCTCGAGGGCTGTCTTTTGTTAACCAATGTGGAGGTGATGAGCGAGATTCGGGTTCGAGTTCACGAGGGATGCAGCCGGGGTACATATTGAAGAATGGGTGATCTACAATTTGATCGGGATCCGGTCTTTTTTCTTCGGCAAGATTCAAGCAAGCCGTAACTAGGTCTTTGGCCTCGTCCGGGATGTAATTTGCACTTTCGGTGTCAACTGGCCAGTCGTAACTCAGTGACTTCACCTTCTTGTAAATTTCCTCTTGGGTTTTTGATTGAAATGGGGGGAAACCCGTAAGCATGGCAAAGCTGAATCAACGGGACTCCAGTTAGCTACTTTTTCTTCACTTGGTGGGGAGTCTACAGCACTTACAATATCACACCCAAAGACCAGATGTCAACCTTTTGATTATGACCTCCTTTGCTCTTATCCAGCACCTCTGGAGCAATATAATTTGGGGTCCCACACAGCGTCTTTCTTCTCTTCTCATCTTTCTCGCTGAGCATCAGGGCTGCCAGCCCGAAGTCGCCAACTTTGATATTCATGCATTGGTCGAGAAACAAGTTTCCCATCTTCAAGTCACGATGAGCAACATGACGTTTGTGGAGGTACTTCACAGCGCCACAGAGTTGTATCATAAACCTTCGCACTTCGGGCAGACTTAGGAACTTTCTTTTCTTTACCATATCCATTACTGAACCATTAGGACAAAGCTCGAGAACCACGTATATGTTTTTCTGGAAGGAAAACGCCCGGTGAAATGTAACTATTTTAGGATGCTTCATCTTTGAGTGAATCTGCAGCTCCGTCCGAAACTATAGCAATCCAATCAAGTCAGCTATCAAACCAAGCCTATACACATTGGTAGATAGCACATACCTTTTCCTCCATCTTCTTTTGCTGCATTTCAGATTTGACAACCTTCATGGCGAAGATACGTCCGTTCCTTGCAAGCTTCCCTTCATAGCAGACTGCAAATCCTCCCTTTCCCAGGAAGCTCCCTATCTCATATTCCTCTCCGCAAGGGCCAGGCTCCTTGACCTCTGGAGGTGGAGGTGTCGCATGGTGCCGATGGGATGATGGCTGTTTTTGGGCAGGATTGGTCTTGACGGATAGCTTTTTGGCCCCTTCAACTTTTGGTTTTGGTGGAATGTTGGTTGATCGCGGAGATAGTGGCTCCATGGCTGGTATCAATTGCGAACAACTTGCATAGAGCAAGGTGATGGGTCAATGGATAAGTTGAGAGGTTATGGCGGTCTCCAATTCAGGTGTATAGGATGCTTTCTTCGAGTAATTGTAGGGGGTGCCACAGTAGGTATTCCTGGTGAAGAATTATGTATGTATGCTCTGAATATTGCGCCGGCAGGGATGAACTCCGATGATAACAGGATGAGACAACAGAAGATAAGAGTAATGCACGCAAACAAATGCCCAACAAAGACGTAAAACTGCTAACAAGATATGGCATGCAAGTCTCGCCAAATGTCAACTCTCCGCCGCAAACGAGTGCCTCTCTCCGTCTCTTCGTCTCGTCGCTTCTCCAAGGTTTGACTGTTTACTTCTTCGACAAGCAAAGCGAAGTTGCAGCTTTTTGGCCTGGCAACGCTTAGCCTAAATAGAAAATAAGTAAACAAAAGCCGCCGGAACGGAAAAATAAGACGGAGCCTTATCCTTATTATGTAATCATCTAGTTCTCTTCTTGGCATTTTTTCCCTTTTCGACTTCCTCGAGACATCCAACTCGACATTCAAACCTGCAGGATTTACGGGAGTACGACTGTTGGATAGCCGCGTTGGACTCTTTTCTAGTTGTATATCAAGTCACTTTTGTCCTGAGAAGATGCGGTGATCACGTCGCTCGTTAAGTTCTGAAATCCGTGGACTGCATAACCCCACGCCCAGAGAATGATAGCTACGCGATGTCGAGTATCACACTCAAGCTCTCGTCTCTTGTGATAAGGACGCTCTCAAAGCCCATAGCAGTAAGCATGGCGGATATCGGAATCCCCCTTTCTATGGGCCGGGCTGACAGTCTCGCCTTTCCGAACAGAACCAAATCAAAGCACAAGCTCGTGAACATGAGCGGTTTCGTCGGATATGCGTGTCGTTCGCGCAGACAGTGCATCGCATTGACATGCGGCTAAGGCTCGGCCTGCTCCAAAACACCGCTGCTCTCGAAAAGCAAGCTGCCCGCGAGGCGGCTGAAGCACACGCCAAGAAGATAAAACTCCAAACACCGACGGTCAAGACGGAGGCCCAGACAAAGGCCGATGAGTTGCTCAAGGCAAAGGAGAAAGCAGGAGGTGCCGCCGTTAAGACTCCGCCCATCCCTCGGATTCGGCCACTGTCTGAAGGCAAAGCAATCGACATGGGAGCAAACTTCATCAGCGAGACATTCTTATTCCTTGTTGGAGGCGGACTGATCATCTTCGAGTCACTCCGGTCTCGACGGAAGGAAACGTCACGGCGGGAAGATGTTGCCGACCGTCTAGCGGAGCTAGAAGAGTCAGAGAATGCTGCACGCGCTGCTTTGATCGTTCTGGAGAAAGAGGTTCTCCGGCTACAGTCCCAGCTTGAGAAGCGCCCTGTTAAAGAATTAAAGCGGGTTCTGCCGAAGGAAATATGGCAGGTTGAGGAAGAGCCGGAGCCAGAACCAGAGCCTTCGCTTCTCACAACCATCTCTTCCTATTTCCAGTGGCCAAAAACAGCCAGCAATACTCCTACTACTGTTGCTACTGTTCCACCCGAACCGCAAACATCCCAACAGGCTCCAACCCAAGCTCCATCGCAGCCCGATGCAACCTCTTCAACCACACCTCAACCGAAGAAACAAGTTTAATACTCAGTCAATTGGAATGTTCGAGCTCAGCTCACATCTAATGGTTTTTTTTTGAGATATCCTCCCCTCAATCTCAGCTATACACTAAATTTTTAGCGTCATATTCTCACTCTATGTAGACGCCTCCTTTTTTTGTCGATATACCCTCTATACTGTACACTATTAGAACCATAACTAGGCCCATTGAATAGACTGTATTTGTCACACTGCCCACAGCCGCCGTCGCCCCTGCCGGTCCCCTCCGTAGCATAAGACAAGAGTAATCGAGCTGTGGCGCAGCGAAAAAGACTGAAAAGCCGCGTGGGAGGCTGCATCACCCTGATTACATAAGCAATGACATTTAATTAGTTCTGAAATGTCACTGACTGGCAACACTTTTTGGCAGATCAGGCCTGGCGTTTGTTTGAGCTTTTGATACCCAAGGCAAGGCCCTTTTGTTATATATTATCCTACCTCGTCCCGAATCCTCACGAAAGCGCTCCGGCATCTCCAGGCCTGCCACTGCTCCTCGGCCGTCAAGGAACTGCAGCGCTGCGCCCAACGTCACAATCCCCAGGCTCACCCTGAGTTGGCCGTCCAGCCAGCCCCGTGTGAGCTGCTATCAGAAGAATGGTGAGTCGCATGCTTGGAAAACTTCTGTCCGACATAAAGGAAGAAGTCATACTAACTCCTTATCGTCTTCCAGGGCTATTCTAAACGTCCTCGCGATGATAAGAAGAGTAAAGGCGGGCGGTCTAAACATGCGGGGGATAAGGGCTCCGGTCAACCGCGAGTAAAAAAAGCCGTCTTTGAGAGCACCAAGAAGAAGGAAGTCGGTGTATCAGACTTGACGCTGCTCAGCAAGGTGTCCAATGAAGCTATCAACGAGAATCTGAAGAAACGGTTTGAGCATGGGGAGATTTACGTGAGTGCTGCGCTACATCAGCTTTGGGTTGCCCCTTTACCAGCCGCACGCTAACGTCAGGTCGCAGACATATATCGGCCATGTGCTTGTCTCTGTCAACCCGTTTCGAGACCGTAAGTAGCTGTTTGCTCTCAGTAGCCTTTCTAATTCTAACGTATATTGCTTGCTTAGTTGGGATATATACCGACGAGGTCCTCGATTCGTACCGCGGGAAGAACCGTCTCGAAGTAAAACCGCACGTCTTCGCAGTCGCCGAGTCAGCATACTATAACATGAAAGCATACAAGGAAAATCAATGTGTTATTATCTCAGGAGAATCCGGCGCCGGAAAGACAGAAGCTGCCCGACGATTGATGCAGTATATCGCAAACGTCTCGGGGGGTTCAGATTCTTCCATTCAAGAAACCAAGGATATGGTTCTGGCAACCAATCCGCTCCTGGAATCGTTTGGAAATGCGAAAACATTGCGCAACAACAACTCATCGCGATTTGGAAAATACTTAGAACTCCAGTTCAATTCGGTTGGAGAACCTGTCGGAGCCGTGATCACAAATTACTTATTAGAGAAGTCCAGAGTGGTGGGCCAGATCACCAACGAGCGCAATTTCCATATCTTCTATCAATTCACGAAGGCTGCCCCCCAGTCATACCGCGGTACGTACCTGTGAAGAATATATATATATATATATATCATCAATTGCTAATAAAGTTGAATAGAAGCATTTGGAATTCAGAAGCCGGATGCCTACCTATATACTAGCCGCTCAAAGTGTTTTGACGTGCCTAATATAGATGACTCAGCTGATTTTAGAGAGACCGTTGAAGCTATGAAGATCATTGGCTTAAGCCAGGCTGAGCAGGACAACATTTTCCGTGTACTAGCTGCTATCCTCTGGCTAGGAAATATGCAGTTTGTTGAGGATGACCAGAGCAATGCCACTATCACCGACCGGTCGGTCATCGACTTTGTTGCCTATTTAATGGAAGTTGATGCGGACCAGGTTCAAAAGGCTCTTACCCACAGAATCGTCGAAACCGCAAGAGGAGCTCGGAGAGGGTCTATCTATGAAGTGCCGTTGAACACGGTGCAAGCTATGGCTGTTCGTGATGCCTTGGCAAAGGCCCTCTATTTCAATCTCTTTGACTGGATTGTGCAGCGAGTGAATGCATCCCTGGTTGCGAAAGGAGCCGTTTCAAACTCTATTGGTATCCTGGATATTTATGGATTTGAGATTTTCGAGAAGAACTCATTCGAGCAGCTCTGCATCAACTATGTCAATGAAAAGCTCCAGCAGATCTTTATTCAATTGACATTGAAGACAGAACAAGAAGAATATGCCCGGGAACAAATTCAATGGACGCCCATCAAATACTTCGATAACAAGGTTGTTTGCTCGTTAATTGAAGATAAGAGACCGCCGGGAATATTTGCTGCGCTTAATGACGCCTGTGCCACTGCACATGCGGATTCGGCGGCAGCAGATCAAACCTTTGTTGGACGATTGAACTTCCTCGGCCAAAATCCAAACTTTGAATCCAGGCAAGGACAGTTTATTGTCAAACATTATGCCGGCGATGTGTCTTATGCCATTGAAGGAATGACAGATAAGAACAAGGATCAACTGCTCAAGGATATATTAAACCTAATCAACTCGAGTGGCAACGGCTTCCTACATACTCTTTTCCCGGACCAAGTAAACCAGGATGACAAGCGACGCCCTCCAACTGCCGGTGACAAGATCAAGGCCTCTGCCAATGATTTGGTTGCAACGCTGGCCAAAGCACAGCCATCGTATATCCGGACAATCAAACCAAATGACAACAAGTCCCCATCTGAGTACAATGTTGGAAACGTTATGCATCAAATCAAATATCTTGGTTTACAGGAAAACGTGCGAATCAGACGAGCTGGTTTCGCCTACCGACAGACATTCGACAAGTTTGTTGAACGGTTCTACCTCCTGTCTCCCAAAACCTCGTACGCAGGTGACTACACCTGGACCGGTGATGCAGAGTCCGGCTGCCGACAAATCTTAAAGGACACAAGTATCCCCGCTGAAGAGTACCAAATGGGTGTGACCAAGGCTTTCATCAAGACCCCCGAAACGCTTTTCGCCCTTGAACATATGCGAGACCGTTATTGGCATAACATGGCCATCAGGATACAGCGTGCATGGCGCAACTACCTCCGATATCGAACCGAATGTGCCATCCGCATCCAACGCTTCTGGAGACGTGTTACTGGTGGCCTGGAGTTCATCAAGCTACGAGACCAGGGCCACAGAGTACTTAGTGGGAAAAAGGAGCGTCGACGATTCAGTCTTCTTGGCTCAAGGAGATTCCTAGGTGACTATATAGGTGTTGGAAACAAGGGTGGATTCGGGGAGATCGTTAGAGACTCCATCCGCCTTTCGAGTAAGTATTTAGATGCGGTCCCCATATGTTTGATATCCGCCATTGACATGTATGATTGTAGGTTCCGAAACGATACTTTTCTCCTGTCGGTGCGAGCTTCTGGTAACGAAATTCGGCCGATCAAGTAAACCTGCACCACGACTTTTAATCCTGGTATGAATTTCTTCTCGGACAGTTGAGACTCTAAATGGATACTAATAGGGAACATGTGGTAGACTGCTAAAAATGTTTACATTGTTGCTCAAGCAGTTGTGAACAACCAGCTCAACATATCTGCTGAGCGGACCATCTCCCTGGGCGCAATAAAGGCTGTTGGAACATCCAATCTGAAAGATGATTGGTTTTCAATAGTTGTTGGTGCACCCCAGGAGCCAGACCCCCTATTGTCCTGTGTGTTCAAGACGGAATTCTTCACCCATCTCACCAACGCCTTGCGCGGACAGATGAACCTCAAGATTGGTGATGTGTATGTTTCACCAGCACTTTTGTCTAATAAACTAAAAAAATATACATTATGCTAACCTCCGAGCTTAGGATTGACTTCAATAAGAAACCCGGCAAGTTGGCACAGGTCAAAGTGGTCAAGGATCCGGCCGTACCCCGGGACGACGTGTATAAGAGTGGAACTATCCGCACAGCGCCCGGAGAGCCAGCAAACTCGGTCTCCAAGCCAACACCGCGGCCCAAGCAGGTCGCCGGCAAGCCGATCAGCAAAGGCAAACTTCTACGACCCGGCGGTCCAGGCGGCGGCCCGTCCAAGCTCTCGCAAACAGCGGCCAAACCCAAGCCACGTCCTGCACCCCAGCAGCTTCCGGGCAGTGGCCAACAGTCAACTCTGGAATCACGGCCTGTCCCCCAACCTGCCGCCGTTGCTGCTGCTGTGGCAACCTCCAACCATAACCGCGTTAGCTCAACAGCTTCACAATCCCAGTCACGGCCGCCACCACCACCTCCTCCTCCGGCACCCCAAGCAGCTCCACCGCCCAAGAAGCCCATGGCCAAAGTGCTGTATGACTTTAACAGTGGGAATACAAATGAGCTGGCAATCCGGCAGGGAGAACTGGTACAGATCATCTCCCGTGAAACAAACGGTATCCCTTCCCTTTTATCTTATTCCATTATACATAAACATGGAAGTATACTAATTAGCGTCCAGGTTGGTGGCTATGCATGAACCCGAGTACCGGAGTCCAGGGCTGGACTCCAGAGGCATACATTGAGGAAATCAAGGAGGCAGCTCCACCACCTCCCCCTCCACCACCCCCCGTAGCAGCCCGGGCTCCAGCTCCGGCTCCAACACCGACATCTAACGGCGCAGGTGCAGTGCGTGCTAGCGGAACAGCAGCTGCAAAGGCCAAACCAGCTCCGCCCGCACCCCCCGCAAAACGCCCCAACATGCGCAAGCAAGTCCAGAACCCCATAGCTCCGCGGGATAGTGCCGTCAGCATGAACTCGCAGGACTCATCGGGGGCCAGTGGGCGGGCGACGCCAAACAGTTTGAACAATGCCAGCTTGGCGGGAGGACTTGCAGAGGCCCTACGGCAGCGACAGAGCGCGATGCAAGGGAAGCATAACGACGACGACGACTGGTAGGGGACATGCTTAGACGGTAGTTACTTGCTGGTAATTGTTTTTTTGTCTATAAACAACTTTTTTGCTTGTGTTTGTGTTTTTACGTCTACGGATATTTGCAGCTGAATATTAGAATGGTTGAGTTGATACATTTTTAAAAGGGGGCGTTTATTTACTCTATCACCATCACACTATCTATTGCTTGATCTGTACTACAAGACGGTAGGTAGAAGTCAACGAAGAGAAAAATAAAAAAATAAAAAAAGAATGCCGGGTTAAAAGATCTATAGCTACCGTGACTGGAATTCATCGATCATGGAGATCATAAACAAGTTAACGCTGCAAATAAAATGCCACACACAAACATCCAAGGAAGAATCCAAGGGAGAGAGAGATTAAAGAGAAGAAGAAAAAGGGGGTGAAGATATTAGACTAGAGAGTAGAAAGTGAAGAAGATGAAAGGAATCTACCTGGGAGCAGAGGTCGGGGTGTGGACGGGCGAAGGGGCCTGGAGATGGGATATAGGGGTCGGGGGCGCACTCGTCGTAGGCGTGGCCACTTCTATGGCGATGCTGGGCAAGGTAGACAGCGGCGGCAGACGAGGAGGCTGCTCGGGGGGTCTTCCTTCAGGCTCAGCTGCTTCTCTTTCTCTGTCTGTTTCCTGAGTGACTATGCTGGCCGTTTCATTGGGAGGTGTTGGCTGATACGGGGGTGCATCCCCCCAGCCATTAGCAGTACCATTAGCAGTGCCCGTCTCACTGATAGCATCGTCATACGGCGGTGGAATGGAATTGATGCCCAAATCTGGTCCCGCGGTGCCCAGGGAGGAAACGTCCGAGTGTACAGAGGTCTGCGAGAGCAACGAAGAGGCCGATGTGGTGCGCTGATGCGAGTGGCCCATCATCCCCATGCCCGCCGCAGAGTCCAGCAGGGCCCGCGAGTCCGAGTCCGGCGAGTGAGAGCCAGACGTGAGTCTCGTCCCGTCGTGTCTGACATGCCCGATATCAGCGTAGGAGACGCTCGACACCCTCCTGCCCCGGTTGCGAGACTGGTGTTCGGCCAGCAGCACGGCGGCAGAGACATTCGCTGCGCTGCCGTTGGGAGACGCACCGCCGTCCGCTGAAGAGACCAGCCGGCCTGCCTCAGCCCTCGCGCGGCTCTCCCTGCGCAGCTCCTCCAGCCGGGCCCAGTCGCCTCTCTCGCGGGCCTCTCGACGCTGCTGCCGGAGCTCCTCGCGCTCCGCTATCTCTCGCCGCCGCGCCAGACGGATCTGATACAGGGACTCCATCTGCTCCTCACGGTTGGCTTCCTCCTCCTCGGCGGTCTCGGGGAACTCGATGACGACGTCCATGCCGTCTCGCTCGCCTTCACGGGCTATCACGCGCTCGCTGGCCTTGGGGGTGAGGGTGTAGGATGGCAGAGTCATGACGGAGCGGACGGAGGTGTTGCGGTCGACGGCAGCCTGGTGCTGGCCCTGCTGGCCATCGTCTGCTCCATTAAGGGCTTCATGGGCCAGCCGTCTGTTTGTCCCGTTGGGCACGGCGTTGTAGGATGATGACGATGTGCCCGGAGTCCATCGCTGCCAGAGGCCCTTGAGGTAGCGGCCTGGGATGAATCGGGGCTGGTAGTCGCGGCGGCGGAGGTGACGCAGGACGAAGAACGCGGTGATGAAGGCCACGACGAGCGCGAGGACGATGATGGCGACCTGCAGGCTGTTAGACAGTGTCTCTCGTCGGCTGATTGATTGATTGATTGATTGATTGATCGAAGAGAAGATACGTACAAAGTAGAGGTTGGACTCGCTGCCGGCGTCGTCGCTGGCTCGCCGCTGGATGTACATCGTGAGACTCGAGACTCTCAGCGGCCGCCTAGCTCTCGATCTCTGTCTTTTGTCTCTCTCTTTTGACTCTCTCTCTCTTGACTTCTTCTATCCAGTCTTATTTCTGGTTACTCCGTATTCCTCTGACTATTCGTGTCGTTGTCTGGATCTCATGGCCGAGTCGCGGATTCACTGTCAGCCGCAGCAGCAACGGCGAGATTCCAGCAGGCCGCAAGTCGCAAGCCCTTCGTCCTCTTTGTTCGTCTTGCTCGGCTGTCAATTAGCTGTTATTATTCTTGCTATCTGCTTATTAGTTGTTTATTCCATGCCTGCTGCGCCCTCCGGCTGGCTTCTGCGTGCCAATCACCAGCGCCGGGACAGGGATGGACAAGGCATCCTCGGCCACTCACAGCGGGCTCTTCTCTGATTTTACTCGGAATACCAACTATTGAATAACCAGTTAGTTAATGATATGCTAATGATATGCTGCTGGCTGGCGAAAGGCTTGACCGTCGAGAAGCATCCGCAAGATCGCGGCCGCTGAGCCTGATTCCACATAACCAAGGCGGAAGAGGATCCAGGCTCTCTCTTCTCTCTCTTCTCTCTCTCTCTCTCACTGCTCCGCCAGCATCTAGAATCAGATCAGATTCCACACTGCTGATTCCACTACGACTAGTTAACGACTCGTTAACGACCAGCCAAAGACCTGCTTATCACTCGGCAAGGCGTCCACTAACTTCTGCCCAGCGGCTGAGGGCGCCTTGGAGGCCACAGCAGGGCTTGGTACGGAGTCTTCTTCCTCTCAGCCGCGTCTGATACTGACGATAGACAAGAAAAGGACAAGAAAAGAACAAGAAAAGGACGATAAAAGGACGATAATTGTTGCTCCGGATGAAAGTGGCCTGCTTCTGCTTCCTCGGAGCCATGTCTTTGCAGCGAAATGGCCGGTCATGGCTTTCCTTCCAACCGGGGCTGATAATAACTACTGGACATATATACCCAGAGTCTCTCATGGACAAAACTTGACAAAGTCATGGTAGAGATAATACTAGTTACGGCACAAGGGACAGTGTCAGTATGAGGTATTGTCCCTGCTGCCGGTTGGTGGACTCGTCTTACTCGCCTGGCTGTTTGATAGACAGCCACCAACCCAGACGAACAAGACAAGACAACAAGACAAATGAGAAACATAATAGCTATAACTACTCCGTAGCTGGAGCAAAGTGAACAGCATTGACCATGGCCTGGGTTCACTCACGCTCAGATCATGCTGCAGCAAGTGCAAATCGTGAGTGAAGGGCTAGAACTAGGGTCACTACTCCTCTCCACGCCGCTGTCCAGGCGATCTGAGGCTGGTCATTAGAGTGGGAATCCGACTGGGGAGCAGCAGAGCCGCGGATGGATCAAAACAGAGTATCCGCAGGTTCTATTCACAGGCCGGAGTTCATAGTTACGTAGCAAGGGGGCTGGTGTAGCCTCATATACTGTGTCCATGAGTTATAGCTATCAACAGATCCATACCAATAGCCAGTATTAATGAACCCCAGGCCATTAATATCAGCCTGACACGCTGCTGCCACTCGTCTCTGGCTTCTTAGTTCTATCCAAGCCAATATCTCGGGAGAGCATCATGGACTTGACTATACATACTTGTTTATATATCTATGAAAACCAACCAAGCCCTGCAGCAGCTTTAATGCTCCGTCTGATATATAAGTGTATATATATAGCGAATATCTCTGCTATTGGCAGCTTAAATGCCCTTGATATGCCCTGACTCCGGCCTCTGCAACCAGATATAAAACGCCAGCTCGCTTGTGCCACCACATCCTGATGCGCGAAGAAGCACAATACCAACAAATCAGGCGATGAAAACTGGCGACGCTCGGCAGTCAAATGGCTATCTATCACTTCGAAGAGATCACTGCGAGGAAGCATCTCCTAGCTGCCTGCTACTTGGTTGACAGTGACATCCAGCAGCGTCTCACAGGAGGGACAAACAACCAACCTTAAGCACGACATGATGGCCTGCAGCAGACGGCGCGCGAGACATGGCAATCCGCCCTACTCTGCTCTGCTCTGCTCTACTCCCTGCCGTCCCTGTTCAACTATATACGTGTGGACGGCGCTGGCCTGTCAGACCCCCCTCGGCCGGCTTCGAAAGGCATATATTAAAACAGTCCACGTTGACTGGTTACGCTGGCCCGAAACTCCTGGTCAATGTTGATGCCGACTACGACTTACTTAGCTTCTCGATATACCGTTCAAGGACTTCTATCAATCTACCCCATACGAAGAAACGAAGAGCCAGCCAACAGATTCACGGCGTGGCGAGACAGGGGGGGCCAGGCAGGCCATCCCTCCCCCCCGGGCTGCACCAAATCTTCATCTCCAACCCTGCAACAAAAAGGACATGCTTGTCCGGCAGGTGATGATGATGCTGATGGATGTGCCAGCAGAAGTCCGTCTGGGCTGATCCGTCGATCAAGGATGAGTTCGTTACCGAGTGGCCCGGCCTGGCATCTGCATCTACTTACGACTAGTTATGCATACTTACATATATATGCAACTTCCCCGTACTTGTTCTTGTTGGTACGCCTTTTCGCGCCGATATCACCGAGGACAGGACGCTGCTTGGTTCTGATAACTAGTTAGTGAAGTCGTCTGCAGGCCGATCTTCCAGCGTTTCTTTTGCCGGGCGTTGGACAGGGTTTGCATGTCGTGCGTGATGGCAGATCTGACTTGTTGCATTTTTATTCAAATCAGAGTCTTCAACCAAGATGACCACAACTCTCTCCCTCAGCTCGTATCATGCTTGCTGGCTCGTCCTTTCGCGCTTTTCCTTGGGGCCGGTCCATTGAATAGCGTTTGTCTAATTTCGATGTGGGCAAATTAGACGGGCCCTCATCTGTCCTGGAGACTTTTTGCTAGGGGGATCCCCTGATCCCATATCCCGGCTTGCTGCTCAATGCAACAGTATAACATGGAAATCAAAGGCGGTTGACGGCTTTCCTACCTTGATCACGCCATGATACTGACATTACTGCATATACTCCGTCCATAAGTACACTCTTATGTACGTCCATACGCATTGGCATTGGCTGGCGTATAGCATCCTGCTGTACCCTATACTCCGCACCCTGCGAGCAGGCCGCTGTCAACACGGTCAGGATTCCCGAGTTAGTGTGTGTGCAGGCCCCTGCAGCAGTTAATTATAATACTCTGCAGCGAGACTGGGTTCATCACACAGGTCGGTCGGTCGGTCCAAAAAAGGAGCCAGCCACCAGACCAGCAGCAGACTTTGTCCCGTCTGCTCTCTCGCTTTCACTCCCTACTCGCATTCGCATACCCAAGCACCCCTACTTACCTGGACTGGGCCCCGGGGGGAGGAGCAGAAAAACTCTATGCAAGAACGAACCAAACAATGGCAGCGCACAAAGCATACTAAGACAAGAAAAAGAGGATGCCGTCTCTCGCCTAGACGAACATATCATGCCATGCTGCGAAGCGGACAAGAGCCCGACATGCTGGATAGTCAAGGGGTCCGGGTAGTTAGTCTGGCAAATCACCGCTTGCGGCAGCCCAGCGGCATACTTACTGTAGGATGTCCGGACATCCAGCAAACAAAAAAAAAAAAAATAAAAATAAAAATAAAAAAAGACCCATGGCTCATGGATGAACCCGATGCCCGTGTCCCGTCAGGTTGGTTCGGGGTGTGGACGTTTCCCATTCAGCGGGTCGGCGTTGGTACGACGTTGCAGGATGGACAGAACGCACTCTGGGAACTGGGAGCTGGGAACTGGCTGGGCCTCGAGATAATCTATACCGTTAGACGTTTCATACAGACTCGTACAGGAGGGCTGCTCTTCTTATCGTGCAAACGCATACATAACTTGGGCACGACCGGGCTAATTTTTGATTGTTATGCATGTATGTAGGTGTAGGGGATGACAAGAGGGTGGGAAACCGGGCTTCTTCGTGCACCCCCCTCCTCTTCCTCTTCCTCGCCCCCTTCGCCCTTTGCTTCTTCTTCCTTTTAGCATTTCAGTCAGCTTACCACTGTGTTGACTTTTGAATGTGATTTGATTGATGGGTATTTAATATCGGGCAGATCGTTATGTGCAGCCAGCCGTAGATCTGCCGCTGAATAAGGCAGGCAAGTAGGTACTCTCCGTATGCTTGTGCTTATGTAGGTTGTGTGTGTATGTAGGTTGCGAAATGTTAAGTTAACTATCTTTGTGCTTTGCTTTCTTTTTCTTCTTCATCATCTTCTGGCCCTTCCGTCCGGCGGTACGGTTCGCTTTCATATCTTGGGAGGCCGATTGGGATCGAGTCTGGCGATTCTGTCCAACGGTAACGCCTTTGAACGCTTCCCTCGTTTGCTTGTAGGGGATGTGTGTAGTTGGTTTGTGGATTGGTTGGTGTGAGTGTGCGGGAGACAGGAATTGGGGGCGCTAGACGTTCAATCAGACGCTGTGCTGCCTATGCAATTCCGCGTGTGTCTTGCTTTTTTATATCTCAGTTCGCATCCCAATTTCATAGAGCGTTTGGATGTTGGTTGGTTGGATGGTTGACTGGCTTGCTGGCTTGTTGGTTGATTTGATAGTTCAAAAGAGGTACAGCAAGGAAACTCGTCACTAAAAAATGAAAATAAAAAAGTAAAAAAAAAAAAAGAAAATGAATGCAAAAAGAGAGAAAAGAAAATAAAAGTCATGTCATGTCTTGTTCATCATTTCGGCCTCGGGTTGGAATAAAAAGAGAGCAGAGGAATAAGAAAGGGGACCCGCGGACTGTCTTGTCTCATTATGCATATACACCCGAAAGAGGAAAAGAAAAGAAAACCGCCCGCCGCCCGCTTAGAAAAGGATGAAGGATGAGGAGTAAGTAAGGAAACAAAGAGACAGGAAGGTGTTGTTGGACTGAGACTTTAGTTCGTGCGGAGGGAGTCGCACGTAAGTACTTAAGGTCGAGGGGGAGAAAAGGGCTAGAATAATGATGGGGGGGGGTGGAAGAAAGGGAACAAACAAACCCGGCACTTTCAGGTCCCATTGGCTACGGTATCGAGAGACCGCTTGGTAAAGACCAGGGGAACCGTCGGGGCTCCAGCCGTGAAGTAGTCTCTGAATCCGCCCTTGCCATCGTAGAGTTTCTCGGAGCCGGCACGGCTCTCTTTGGGGAAGCTGAAGTCGAACAGCCGGACGACCATCGCGAGCAGCATGCGCATCTCCATCATGGCGAGCGGACGGCCGGCACAGGAGTATCTACCTGCCAGGAACGGGTTGAACGCGTCCTTGCGAATGATCAGCTCGGGCTTAGACGACCATCTCTCGGGGATGAAATGATTGGGCTGTACGAAATATCTGCTATCTAGATTGGGTAATTTATATCCATGTTAGCATGCCGTTATTCAACCTGGATAACACACCAAGTATCTGTGAGAAGAGAGAGAGAGAAGAGAGGACAGGGAAACGACCGAGAAAATACGAAAAGGCAAAAATAAGGAGATCGTGATCTGAGGTAAAAATAGAAAAAGAAACTATGTGTTGGAAAACAAATAACAAATGTGAAAAAAAAAAAAAGGAACAAGCTAGCAGGGATGGCAGATGGTGATACGTACCGCGATGGAGAGTGTATGTGGGAGTCGAGACGATCGTGTCTCCAGGAATCCATCTGTCCGCGATCATTGCTCCCTGCGGGGGTGTCAGGCGTTGCACTCCGCTGGGGACGGGAGGGTAGAGCCGTAGGCCTTCGTTGATGCACCCTTCGAGGAGGTGGCTGGATGCGAGCTTCTGGTGTGAGAACTGGTCGAGGGTGGGTATCAGGAGGTCTACCTCAGCCTGGAGTGCCTTTTTCTGCTCTGGATGGAGTGCCAGGAGGTAGAGGACTGTGGTCAGGTTGAGAGCTGTGGTCTCACTGCCTGCCACGATGGCCAATTCGGCGTCATAAGTCAGGTCTCCATCCGATGTAGCTTCACTGAGATCATTTCCCAGGATGTATGAAAATAGATCAGGCCGTGTAGTTCCCAGCTATATATCCTTAGTTAGCACACTCTAGTTACATATTACATATGTATTGATAGACCAGGGAGAAGCCTACCTTCATTCGTTCTTGGACCTGGACGCCGCACCAGGAGATCCAGTTTGAGCGTACACGGCTGATTCCGGGCAGCTTTTGGAAGAGAATGAAGAGCCAGGGGACGCCAATGAGCGTTCCCACGACAGGCTTGCTAGACTCCATCATGCCAAAGAGGAAATGAGGGTTGCCGGTGGTCAGCATGTCGAATGGCCGTCCAAAGCTGAGGTCGCCCATGACGTCAAAGCCAAAGTACTTGAACCATTTGCCGATGTCGACCGGCGTCCCGGCCAGTCTGGAGAGCTGCTTGACCAGATCCAGACAGTGCTGGTACACGCGAGGCTCATACTCGCTCAATGCTAGACGTAGAAACCAGTCAGTCGAGATATTCTCAGTTAGACAGTTGCTCAGATAACTAGTTAGGGGGGGGGTTCAGGGGCACCTTTTGGACTGAAGCCGCGGTCCCAGGTGCGGCGTCTCCGCGAGTGGAACGCCTTGTCTCTGGTCATCTGGAGCGACCTGGACGGGTAATTGAGGTCGTAGAAGGGCCCCTTGAGGCAGACCGAGCCGTAGCCATGGATATCTCGCACGGCTGCAACGTTGTTGACTGAGATTTCGCGCGGTCCTGCAGAGGTGTAGTTATCAGTATCAACAGCCCACACACAACACACAACACACAACACACAACACACAACCATCGCATAAAAAGACACAATCAATGGGACAGACTGACGGATCCGGACAAAGTCGCCATGCTCAGCGTGAAGGGCCTGAACAGCTTCGTGAAACTTGAACTGTGGCAGGGCGCAGGCGACAGACCAGAAACCCGACAGTTTGGCTGCGACAGGGCCTGGGAACTGCTTGAGCGAATGGAAGCAGAGCCGGTAGATGGATATACTGGCAAACAGCGAGAGCGCGTAGACGGCCGCGAGCACTGCCAGCGCCCACAGCGAGTCGAGCAGCGGCAGACGCTGGACGAGCCAGAAGGCAGCGAGCAAGCCGGCGGCCGCGAGGGAGTAGACGGCGGCCACGGCGGGCGTATGGCGCTCCCACTCGCCGCGCAGGAAGAGCTGCCAGTGCGAGAGCAGGCCGGCAGCGGCAGCGAGGCCCAGCACCGTCGTCGTCGGCGTCAGCATGGTCAGATAGCTGTCTGTCTATCCTGCTGGTCGGTTGCTGGTTGACGTTTGACGGTGTTGTCGTTGCTTGACTAACTAGTTAACTAGAGTTGAGTGCAGCCAGGCCGAAGATAACTAGTTAACCAGTTAACTAGATATAACTACAGGACTGACTGACTAGGGGCGGAGGCGGAGTTGACTACTCACTAAGTTAGTTACTAGGTGAGTTGACCACTATTACAACATACGACATTATACGACATAAACTCACTACCTTACGGGACTATGAGCTAGTGACTTCGAGTTCACACACTTGACGCCGGCCGGGACTGGGAAAAGAAACAAGTTACATGCGGTTAAGAGCAGGGAAGCCCGCAGGAAGACGCTGCAGCCAGACATGGGCCCCCTTAGCCACTGCTACAGGACTATAGCAACAACCCCCGGAGGGCCAGATATAGCCCCCCCAGGAGGACAGGGGACACAAGGAGACGAGTCTTCAGAGTCCTGTCAGACGCTGCTGGCCGGCTCTGGAGTCTCCTTTTCTTCGCCTGGCGATGTTGCTGCGACAAAGACAGACAGACAGGCAGACGGACAGGCAGACGTCTAGACGGACAGACGGACAAGGACCCTGAGACGGCGAAAAGAAGTGGCCAGAAGGGCCGGGAGAGAGACAAGAGACAGATACTCCATACAGACACAGATAATAACACATCTACGGAGTTACCCAGCGGCGTCTGCGGAGAGTTCCCTGCCTGATGTCTGCTGCCGGGGCCTCTGCTGCGAGTCCTGCTGCATCCCGCGAATCCAACGGCTATACGACGACGCCCTGGCTCGACTGCTTTTCCTTTTCATGCGCTGCGCCAACATCGACCGCGCCCTCGAATTTGCCAGCAACAGTGCTTCCTCCAGCTGCAGCAGCTTGTTCTCCGGCGCGAGCACCACCAGAGACTCCCTCCTGTTCGTCTGATTCATCCTCGATGGCGCCCGCTACGACTGCTGATGACCACCACCAGCCCGGGCTCGACGGTCCGCGGCCAGCGAAGATGGTCAAGCCGTCGCCAGACGAGTGCGCCGCAGCCGTTGAGCAGCAGCATCAACATCAACAGCAGCAGCAGCAGCAGCAGAAACATCAGATCTCGTCCTCGCCTGGCTCGCCTGTCCGCCGGCCTGAGCCTGACCAGATGCCGCAGCTGGCGGTGGACGACGAGGAGGACGAGTTCGACGACAGCGACTCGGCCGTGGGCAGCGACAGGTCAGTTCTGTCTCGCTTCTCTTCATGTTTTGTGCATCAATCGTCTCGTCTAACGGCCGGTAAACAGCGATGAACACTCGCTGCAGAGCTTGACCTCCAGCATTACCAGTTATGTCTACAGGAACGGGCGGCGTTATGCCTCGTTCAGAGAGGGACGATACTGTCTACCCAACGATGAAGTCAGTCCTCTTTCTGTTCCTCTTCTTCCTCTCTCTCTCTCTCTCTTTCTTTTTTTTCACTGTCTTTTAACACTCCCC